AAAAAAAATTCCTTTGGGAAGGTCTTCTTCATAGAGATCTTCAACATGAGACTGGAAAAAAGGGTATGGAATAATCACTGGACCTTTGGCTTTTACAGCTTGAGGTATAAGGACAAAAAGAAAAAGGGATATCATTTAAACACAATTTGTAGGAAAGAATAATTATTGAACCTGTATTGCTCTTTAACTTTTTTTTTGAAACAGCTTCACTCTTGTTGCCCAGGCTGGAGTGCTGCAGTGGCACGTTCTTGGCTCACTGCAAGTTCCATTTCTTGGGTTCAAATGATTCTCCTGCCTCAGCCTGCCGAGTAGCTGGGATGCAGGAGCCCCCCACCATGCCCAACTAAGTTTTGTATTTTTTTGTAGAGACAGAGTTTCACCATTTTGGCCAGGCTGGTCTCGATACCCTAACCTCAGATGATCTACCCAGCTCAGCCTCCCAAAGTCCTGGGATTAGAGGGATGAGCCACTGAGCTGGCTTAGCACTTTCTTACATTATTAAATAGCCTAACCTAGATGGGGACAGTGGCTCATGCCTGTAATCTCAACAACTCTGAAAGCCAAAGTGAGAAGACTGCCTCAACCTAGGAGTTCAAGACCGGCCTGGGCAACATAGCGAGCCCACCCCTCATCCCTACAAAAACAAAAAAATTAGGCCAGGCGTACACAGTACCTGGCTAATTTTTACATCTTTTGTAGAGACGGGGTTTTGTCATGTCAAGGCTGGTCTCAAACTCCTGAGCCCAAGCCATCCTCCCGCCTCAGCCCTCAAAGTGCTGGGATTACAGGGCCCAGGCAGCCTCATGTTTTCTTTAAGCAGCCCCCCACTGTTGCACACTTGGATAGTTTTCTTTTTTTGTTCTTTTAGGCAGGGTTTACCTCAGTCTCACAGGTTGGAGTGCTGTGGTGGGATCATAGCTCATTGCAGCCTTGAACCTTGGTGTTCAAGNCTGCCCTAATCACCCCCATCCCCCTTATTCCACTTAGTATCACCTGAGGTCAGGAGTTTAAGATCATCCTGGACAACATAGAAATATCTTCTTCTCTACTAATAAAACAAAAATTAGCCTGGCATGGTGGCAGGCAACTGTGAGACAGGAGAACTGTTTGAACCCAGGAGCCAGTGAGCCAAAATCACACCACTGCACTCCAACCTAGGCAACAGGAGTGAAAACTATCTCAAGAAAAAGAAAAAAAAATTCCTTTGGGAAGGCCTTCTTCATAGACATCTTCAACATGAGACTGGAAAAAAGGGTATGGAATCATCACTGGACTTTTGGCTTTTACAGCTTGAGGTATAAGGACAAAAAGAAAAAGGGATATCATTTAAACACAATTTGTAGGAAAGAATAATAATTGAACCTGTATTGCTCTTTGTTTTTTTGAAACAGTTTCACTCTTGTTGCCCAGGCCGGAGTGCTGCAGTGGCACGTTCTTGGCTCACTGCAAGTTCCATTTCTTGGGTTCAAATGATTCTCCTGCCTCAGCCTGCCAAGTAGCTGGGATGCAGGAGCCCCCCACCATGCCCAACTAAGTTTTGCATTTTTTTGTACTGACAGAGTTTCACCATTTTGGCCAGGCTGGTCTCGATACCTTAACCTCAGATGATCTACCCAGCTCAGCCTCCCAAAGTCCTGGGATTAGAGGGATGAGCCACTGAGCTGACTTAGCACTTTCTTACATTATTAAATAGCCTAACCTAGATGGGGACAGTGGCTCATGCCTGTAATCTCAACAACTCTGAAAGCCAAGGTGAGAAGACTGCTTCAACCTAGGAGTTCAAGACCGGCCTGGGCAACATAGCGAGCCCACCCCTCATCTCTACAAAAACACAAAAATTAGGCCAGGCGTACACAGTACCTGGCTAATTTTTATATCTTTTGTAGAGATGGGGTTTTGTCATGTCCAGGCTGGTCTCAAACTCCTGAGCCCAACCCATCCTCCTGCCTCAGCCCTCAAAGTGCTGGGATTACAGGGCCCAGGCAGGCTCATGTTTTCTTTAAGCAGTTCCCCACTGTTGCACACTTGGATAGTTTTCTTTTTTTGTTCTTTTAGGCAGGGTTTACCTCAGTCTCACAGGTTGGAGTGCTGTGGTGGGATCATAGCTCATTGCAGCCTTGAACCTTGGTGTTCAAGTAGCTGGGAGGTTGACGTGAGACTACAGATATAGGGTCACACCACGTTGCCCACGCTGCTCTTGAACTCCTGGACT